CTCTTGGGGCCGTCTTGGGGCCCTCTGAAGCCGTGTTGGAGCCCTCTTGGGCCGTCTTGGGGCCCTCTGGCTGGTTCACATGAAGAATACGAAGAAACAGGCCATGGGAGCCGCCCGGGGTACCTCGCTCTTTCCGTGACTCGTACCTCGCTCTTTCCGTTACCCAGGCGTCGCAACAGCAATAGTGACGGTTAGTTTCTGCACGTTCTTTTGTTTCTTCGCGCCACGCCTTGGCCCCAGAGGCGTCAGAAAGGGCTCGGGATGAAAAGCCGGTCCTCATTAATCAGAGTGAGAGGGCCGAACGGTCATTCATTGTCCCTGGGTGCGTGGCTGAAGGAGGATTCCGCGACGCGGATTAGTGTTGTTGTTGTTGTTGGTGGTGGTGGTGTTGGCGTTGGTGTTGTTGTTGTTGTAGTTGTAGTTGTAGTTGTTACTGTTGTTGTTGCTGGTGGTGTTGGCGTTGGTGTTGTTGTTGTTGATGGTGTTGTTATTGTAGTTGTTGCTGTTGTTGTTGCTGGTGGTGGTGCTGCTGTTGTTGCTGTTGCTGTTGCTGTTGTTGTTGGTATTGTTGTTGTTGTTGTTGTTGTTGTTGTTGTTGTTGTTGAACATTATTACTTCTAAAGAATAATTATTGTTGGGACCCCTGGTGCGCGACTCCCCCGCCGCGCCTAGGCCGCAGCCTCATTTTCATCATTTTCGTGAGGAAGTCTCAGGCAAAACGGGTTGGTCCGGATCCGGTTGTGTTGTTACGATCGGTTTTCCCTTGCAAAAAATAAGCTAACGTGGACATTTCTTGTTCTAACATAACCAAACTTCAAGAATCCCTTGCAAAAGATAAGGTAAAGTGGACATTCGCGCGCGCAAGACGAAATCCTTCCAAAACCTTAGTTTTCGTAGCGATTTTAACATAAAAACATAAAAAACAATGGTTTTTCAACAACTAATTGTCAAAATTCATCCCGCGCGCTCTTGCGGATTCGTAGGAAACCCAACACTTTTTAACATTTCTGTCAAACGGGCTTTTGCGAGCAACTTTTTCGAACTTCTGCAACAACGGTTGCGCACCTGCCAGGGCCATCATCCCTGTCAAATAATACCATGCGGGACACATTCGTTTTTTCTTCGCGCGCGCACGCCGTCGTCGTCGGCCGCGGGGCCCTGAATAGTAGCCACGGTCGTCCGCATGCCACGAAGTGAAGTGTCCGAACGTCATAGGGCGGGAAGCTGGGTGTGGGTGGTGGCGAAGAGTCGTTTGGAAATTTGGTAGAGCTTGAACCGGCCCCCCCACAAAGTGGGGGTATTGCCCGCCTCCTATGAAAACCCTGGCACTGGTGAGACCGGTGTGTCCCCACGTGCTAGTAATTGTTGTTGTTGTTGCTGTTGTTGTTGTTGTTGTTACTGTTGTTGCTGGTGTTGCTGGTGTTGCTGTTGCTGTTGCTGTTGTTGTTGCTGATTTCTCATTTCTGAAGAATAATGATTGTTGATCCCCCCACACCCGGTGCATGCTGTTTTTTCTAAATCAAAGTGTGCCCCTCGACGCTCGCACCTTGTTTTTTGACAGGGGAAGTCTTCCTGCTCAAACTGGCCCCTTGGCCCCCGGGTTGCAACAACAACGGTTCCCGCTTGAGATTTCTTTACAATTTAGCAAGGACCACCGCTCCCGCCCGAGACTTCTTCGCATTCGATTCAGGAATCGCGCTCTCGCTTGGGATTTCCTTACAATTTATTCAAGAATTGCTCTCCCGGTGCTCTGGAGTCGCGCTCTCGCTGGAGACTTGCTCGCAATTTACTGAAGAATAGCCTTGCGTTGGAATTTCCCGCAATTTGCCCAAGCGCCGCGCTCCCGACACCCAGGCACCCAGGAGTCGCGCCCGTTGTGGCCCCATGTGCATGCCCTTCGTGGCCCCGCTGTCGCCATTTGTGTCCCCCTCACTGTCCTACCAGGCCCAGTTGCTACCCTCAATGGCCCCATAGTTGCCTTCTGTGGCCCCGCATTATCTGCACTTCGTGGCCCCCGCTCGTTCGCGCTCTTCGTGGCCCCATACGCATTCCCTTCGTGTCCCCGCTGTCGCCCTTCGTGGCCTACTTCGTGCCCTTCGTGGCCCTGCTGTCGTTTTCTCTCGCTCTCGCTTTAGCTCGTCGTCGCCGTCGTCGTCGTCGTCGCCGTCGTCGTCGTCGTCGTCGTCGTCGTCGTCGTCGTCGTCGTGGTCGGTCCCCTGTCCGTCCCTCTTGGGGTCGGGTCGACGGTCCGCAGCCGCCCTGCCGCTTGCCGGGGCCCAGCCTGCAGGGAAGAAAGGTATACCCGCCAAGAAGGGGTTCGATCGAAGACGAAGAGGGCGGGTATCGAGGGTTTGGGAAATACGCGTTATTGGACACTCGAGCATATAAGGGCGCACAGTCTTAAATTTATTGTTGTTGTTGTTGTTGTTGCTCTTGTTATTGTTATTGTTATTGCTATTGTTCTTGTTATTGTTCTTGTTGTTAGTGTTGCTGGTGGTTGTTGGTTGTTGTTTTTATTGTTGTCGTTTTTTTTTTTTTTAGCGTCGTCCCCCCCTCGACCCGGCCCGCGACCCACCCCGCGACCCGCCCGCGACCCACCCGCGACTCACCCGCAACTTACCCCGCAACTCGCCCGCACCCCCCCCGCGTCCTGGCCCGCGACCCGCCCGCGACCCATCCGCGACCCACCCCGCGACCCACCCGCGACCCACCCGCGACTCACCCACATTGCTTTTAACGACAAGTCGGCGCCTGCGGCGGGCTCGTTGTATAATTTGTAAAGATTAGGCGCCTGCGGCAGGCTTCTTCAGAGCCTCGCAGACTGCAGACGTCGCCGCCGCCCCCTCACTCTTATCCGCGACTGCGGGATGCTCCGTATTGGCCTCGTTTTGATCCCCCTTTCCGGAGTCCAGCAGGTATCGGGTTGCTCCTCCAACCGAGGCCCTTCAGGTGCGTTCCGGCCAGACTCCTGGGGCCCGTTCCGACGTGAGTTTCAAGGAAATTGCGGCCGTGGCGACAAGAGCGCTCCACGAAGTCCGCAACGGCATAACAACGACTAAATACCTCGCTCCTCGACCCTCCCTCCAGAAGCTTGCCCAGTACTTTCCCTCTCTGGACACTCAGGACCCCCTCACGCGCGCGAACTGGTAGGATGCAAAATTCTGCATCTCTTGCCAGCGACTCTAGCACACCTCTTGCTCGTCGGGCGGGCGAACCATGGATAGGTCCTGGCCTCGTGTCCTCTCCCCATCCCCGCAGGTATGGGGCTGGCCCTCCACCCGAGGCCCCTGTGGTTCGTTCCGACCAGGCTCCTGGGGCTCGTTCCGACCAGACGCTCAATGCATTTACAGCCGTGGAGACAGGGGCGCTCCAGGAGGCCCGAGACGGCATGTAGAAACTACTAGTACCTATACGACCACCCTTCGGGTGATAAGGAGGTTCGGGGGGGGAGGAACCAACGTCTCACTCGATCGGTCTCACTATCGATCTCACTATCGATCTCAGTATCGGTCTCGCTCGATCGAGCTCCCTCGATCGATCTCACAATCGATCTCACTCGATCTATCTCACAATTGATCTGACTATCGATCTCACAATCGATCTCACAATCGATATCACATTCGGTCTCACGATCGATCTCACTATCGATATCACAACCGCTATCCCAATCAACATCATCATCAACAACATCAACATCAACATCATCATCACCAACACCATCATAATCGGGACACCGTCCTCATCATCAACACCAACACCATCATCATCATCATCATCATCATCATCATCATCATCATCACGGTCATCAACATCATCGGGACACCACCATCATCATCATCATCATCATCATCATCACCATCATCACAATCATCATCATCATCATCAACATCATCATCAGCAGCAGCATCGGGACACAGTCATCGTCATCATCATCAGCAGCAGTATCATCATCGGGGCACCATCATGATCACCATCGTTATCATCATCATCATCATCATCTCATCCTCATCATCGACATCATCATCAGCATCATCAACATCATCATCAGCATCATCATCATCGTCATCATCGTGGCACCATCATCATCATCACCAACATCAGCATCAACATCATCATCATCATCACCAACGGGACGCCATCATCATTAACATCATCATCATCACCATCAAAAAAAATCAGCATCATCGGGACACCACCATCATCATCAACCTCATCATCAACATCATCATCATCATCGGGACACAATCATAATCAGCATCATCAACATCAACATCATCATACTCATCATCATCGGGACACCATCATCGTCATCATCATGATCATCAACATAATCATCATGATCATCATCATCCTCATCATCGGGACACCATCAGCATCATCATCATCATCATCGTCATCATCATCATCATCGATCATCATCATCATCATCATCATCATCATCATCATCATCATCATCATCATCATCATCATCATCATCAGCATCATCATCATCATCATCATCATCATCATCATCATCATCATCATCATCATCATCATCATCATCATCATCATCATCATCATCATCATCATCATCATCATCATCATCATCATCATCATCATCATCATCATCATCATCACGGGACACCGCGGGACACCGCGGGACACCGCGGGACACCGGCGGGACACCGCGGGCCACCGGCCGCCCGGAAGGGAGACATTTGGTCCGGCCGCGCCTCAGCCACACGGGACACCAGCGGGACACCGGCGGGACACCGCGGGCCACCGGCCGCCCGGAAGGGAGACATTTGGTCCGGCCGCGCCTCAGCCACAGGAGACTTTCTCTCGCCCGCCCACGCAGCTTCGCCTCGCCCGCACGGCACGCACGAACACGAAACCGAAATCGATTTCCCGGTAGGGGGGCTCTCCGTTCCACTTCGATCTCACCCCCCAACCTCCGACCACACGCCTCGACCCTCGCGAAAAGCACACGTAAGCAGCTCCTCGCTCCTCTTTTCCCGCAGGTATGGGGCTGCTCCTCCACCCGAGGCTCTACTGCAAGTACGCCGCCGCGACCATGCTGAGCGAGCGGGGCAGGCCGCGCCGCCGCGAAAGCCGGCGTGCGCCCTGTCCGGCAGTCGATTCTGAGAGGGGGGTGGCGCCAGCGTCAGCAGCGGCGGCGACGTCAATAGCCGCACATGTGACAGTCCTTACCTCGGGGAGGACGACGGAGACGACGACCGCGACCACGACGACGACGCCCATGTCGATGGCGTCGTCGACGACGCCGTCGTTGCGCCGACGCCGTCGGTCGACTTCGACGGCGACGTCGGGGTGGCGACGCCCAGGGCCCAAAAGTTCGGGTGTTGCTGGAAGTGCCCCTGGTCCAAGTTGCCCCCCCAGGATTTCCAAGGAGGCCCCCACGGCCTCCAGAGCACCCCTCGCGAGGCCCAGAGGGCCTCCCGGGCTCCAGAGGGGAGCGAAAAGCTGGGGGCACCTTGGGCCAGGAGCACCTCCAGCAACACCGGAAACGGTGCGGGTGACAGCGCGGTGTGGTGAGTCAGCGTGGATTCGGGGTGGTCGCACGGTTTTGGGACAGGCCGACTGGGGCGTCCGAGGTCCCCTAAAAATCCTGCGGTGACGGACCGGGCGGTGAGGTCTTTGGGGGCGCTAAGGTCACCGCACGGTCTGTCACCGTACCGATATGGGACTCCCTTAGAGCAGGAAAGTGATAGGAGGAGTAGCGAGACTATGGCCTTGGTCTCGGGTTTCACTGTAATTTGGAATTGTTGGTAATGCTCTTGATGTTCAAGTGCGATGGTTGTCATATAGTGGGGGCGAACACGGCGAGTAGGACGAAGAGGAAGGCTGGAGGAAGTGTGCCGATTGCCACATGAAGGGAATCAAGCAGTCAGGTTGAGGGAGGAACAGTGTAATAGTCCATTGCTTGCCCAGTGAGTTTCGGGGAGGGGGAGATGAGAATTCTTGCCCAGAATTTTACGGTAGATCCAGCCGTGGCGACAAAGGAGCCCCGAGGTTTCCCCAAAGTACACAACACGTCCAAACACCTCGATCTTCCCTTTCCTCCGCATTTGTTGTAAGGTCTGGCTTCAATGTTGTTGTAGCAGCTTTGCATTCCATCAGCTCGAATCGAATCCTGCACTCTCCTCTTACTCCTCGCTTGCCAGCTTCTCTTTCAAAAGGACACCGGCCACCTAGCTCGATGACCTCAGTCATACAAATGATAGTCGGCTGGTTACGTCCGCAGCGAGGTATGATCGAACCTCGATCCTCCCTCCTCCGCCAAGGTTTGAAGTGAGGGGGGGGACGGGGGAGGAGGTGGTCTGGTGTGCAGGTTTGCCCGATTTGGGAGAACCGGCATTGCATTCACCAATGTGGTCCTCTTCTTCCTCCTCCTCGCTCCTTTCTACGTCTGTATGTCATCATTTACCCTATGACCTCTCTCCACCCTCCCCCGCCCTTTATCTCTCCTTTCCTCCTCCCTCCTTATCTTTTCTCGTGTTCGTCCTTTTCCTCCGGCTAATGCCGCTAGTATTTTTCCTTGTGTGTTTCTTCTTATTTTGTATTAGTCGTGCTACTGTATTACTTCTTACTTGCCTCCTCCTCTTTCTCGTTGTCGCCTTCCCGCTTCTCTCCTTTTTCACCTTCCCGTCCCCTCCCTCTCTTTGTCCAGCTCTTCCGCGTTATTGTCCTCCTCCATTTTTTCTCAATTCGACATTGTTTTCCTCCTCCGTCGCCCCTGCTTCTCGTTCACCCTCTTCTCCCGTTCCTTTCCCATCATCCCTTCCCCCACCTCCACCATCATAACGTCATCTTTCCGTATAATGTCGCACTCTGATTTGCGGGACATATATACCGATAGGACTACCCTACGGGTAATAAGGAGGCAGGGGGGCAAGGGGGAGGCGGTCGATGTGCGATGATTCCCACCTGCCGCCACCAAAGAGTGCGTGGGCAAATGAATACCATTCGTTTCCATTTGCTTCCATCGACTTACGTAACATACATACATATATATACATAAATATGTTCCCATCAATCTATCTTCCTATCTGTCTACCGACACCCATCGGGACAACCGTCGGGACAACCATTGGGACAACCAACGGGATAGCAAACGGGGCAACCATGGGGACAACCATCGGGGCAACCATCGGGACAACCATCGGGACAATCATCGGGACAACCATCGGGACAACCATCGGGGCAACCATCGGGACAACCATCGGGACAACCATGGGACCACCATAATGACAACCATCGGGGCAACCAGGGGGGCAACCATCGGGACAACAATAGGGACAACCATCGGGACAACCATCGGGACAACCATCGGGACAACCATTGGGGCAACCACGGGGCAACCATCGTGACAACCATCGGGACAACCACGGGACAACCACGGGACAACCGCGGGACAACCATCGGGACAATCACGGGACAACCACGAGACAACCGCGGGACAACCACGGGATAATCGCGGGACATCCAGGGGACATGCGCCCGCCCAGGGGTGGGGGGGGAGGCCGCCTTTTGGGTTCCATGTGGCCTCTACCAGTGCAGCAGCTCGCGCAGCTTCGCCTCGCCCGCATGCACGACACGAACCGAAACCGAAACCGAATACCTACACGACCACCCTGCGGGTGATAAGGAGGTTGTGGGGGGGGGGAGGGGGGGGGCTTATGACGACAACTGTGATGAACGCGGTGCTGATGGGCGATGATGGTGTGGATGACGTGGCGGATTTTGTGTGTTCCTTCGCTTGGGCGACTTGTGTCGTTCGGTTTGCCGCTGCGCGACGCGGCACTCATCAGCCCACGACGTCCCAGTCGACGATGGGTGCACCGACGGGCAACCGACGGGACAACGTGGGCTACCGGCGGGCAACCAACGGGCAACCGACGGGACAACGTGGGCTACCGCTTGACAAGGCCGGGGGGGGGAAACATTTGTGTTGGCGGACCCCTAGCGACAGCAGAGTGAATTCCTCTCGCTGGCCCACGCAGCTTCGCCTCGCCCGCACGCACGGCACCAGCACGAACTCGAAACTCGATTTCCCGGCGGGGGGACTCCGTTACACTGCGATCTCACCCCCCAACCTCCGATATGTGTGAATGTGTACAGATCTCACATTCTTAATGTATAAGCTAGAAGGGGAGGGGATGGACGCCGAACCAGAACCGTTCGGCTCAAGCGTGAGACCACGCCTTTCCATGGAACTCCCGAGTGGGGATTCATCGATGTCATCCGCGGGGTGGGCATAGGCGCTGCAGTCAAGTCTGCTGGTCCTGGCTGTGCTCCCTGTTAGTGTGAGTGCCCGGCTTGCAGCTGCTCGCTCTCTTGTCCTACGTGTTCTGCGGCCAGCTGCGGGCACATCTGCTCGGGCGGGTGGATCGCCATCCTTCTCTGCATCGGGCTGGGGTACGATCTCGCCCACTTGCCAGGCGCCTGGCGCCTGCCTTTCGCCCCTCGGGCGGCGGCGGCGGCTGCGCCAGAAGCCGCGGCCCGCGGCGCCACGGTGCCAGCCATCGAGGAGGGGAAGCCCGTGCTACGTGAGGGCGACGTGTTGCGTGCTGAGGCTTTCGAGCAGGTGGGGCAGGTGCTGGCCCGACACACTGCCTAGTGGGCGCCATGGCGCTCAACGGGCTGCCATCTGCGGGGCTGAGAGAGGGTGATTTCTACATGGTGCGCTTCAGCGTGCCAGGCCCTCCACTGTGGCATAACCGTGCTTGCGCATACCTTGGCAATGTTGCAGGTGGCATCTGCGCATGCTATACGCCTAACGGTGACAGCTAAGTACGAGGAAGACCTCGTCCCCGGCCGCGACGCTCAGGTTTGGAGTTTCCTGCCTGGTGGCTCGCAGGGCGGGCAGCTGGCGCAGGCGGCGCCGCAGGCGATCCCGCTGGCTGAGGAGCTCGGACGCTCCCGCGACCGCGGGGCTCCGCGTTTTGGCGGAGCTCCGCTGGGCCTGCCGCTGGCGCCCCTTGCCGGCCCCGGCTCGCTCGGCCCGCCGCCGCCTGCCCGTGTGCCAGGCGCTGGTGCGGCCACCCCCATGGAACCCCTGGCCGTGCGCCCGCTGCCGCTGGCGTCGACGGGGGCTGGGTTTCTTGGCCGCGGTGCTCGGGCCTGCGGGCGGAGCCGTGGCCCCTGGCGCCAGGCTGGGCGGTGCGTTGGTGGGCGCCCCTGCTGCCGTGCTGGAGGCTTCGGCCCTGCCCGCCGCTGGCGTCCTCGCGGCTGCCGTGCCAGCTCCTGCTGGGCCGTTGGTGCCGGGGACTGCGCCGGGCGCCGCGCCCCCCGTTGTTGTTTGTGTTTTGAGGGTGCACCCCATCATAGTGCTTGTGGGCTGCGCAAGCTTCGGGGCCGGCTTAATCCGCGGCCAGCCTCTGGTAAACCGCTCACCTTCCAACGCACATTGCCAGGATCATCGAGTTACGATGTGAGGGGTGATTGGGGGGGGGCTAGTTCTTAATCCTGCGCTAGGGGGCGAGGGCGGGTGGGGCTCGAGGTTGTAATTCTGCTGTGTGCGACAAAGGGCGGGGGGCGAGGGGGGGGCGATGCTTCCATTCTGCGATACACAACTCGGAGAGGGGCGATGGTGGGGGGACGTGAGGGGGCTGGGAGGGGGGACGGGGAGGGGAAGCCACCCAAAAAGCAGGGGAACGTTCAAAAAGGGGGGGGGGGACTCCCAAAGCGAGTGTTCAGGGTGACGGCGGGGGAGGGAGCGGGGGGGGGGAAGGGGGGGGGAATGGGGCAGGACGGGGGGAGGGCCGGAGGGGGAAACCCCCTTCTAGTTGTTAACATGATTAAGAAGATATATTATTTTATCACCGGCTGCGGCATGTTGCGGTTGTATTTCCGATGTTTACATCGGCGACATGTGCATGATCCCAGCACAGGATTGGGAGCAGGCTGCGAGTTCAGGCAGCTTGGCGCGGTAACTGCGCGAAGCTGGGGACTCGCGACGTCAGTGAAACCGTTTTTCGCCCACCCGCAGAATTTCCGAACCAGCAGCGCGGCGCGCTGCGAGCTGCGTGTTTCGACTTCAAGCGCATGCCTCAACTGCAGGTGGGCGACCCTGAGGTTATCGCTGGCAGTGTTGTACATACGGTAGGTTCGCGTCGTGTCGACCAGCGGCGACCCCAGCGCGGGCGTTCAAGGTTGAACGCCGCCGGCGGCCCAGAATCGATCGATGTTGAACGATCGGACGTGGCGGAGACGGCCGATCGTTCAAAGTTGAACGATCCAGCGCGGTGTCAGAAACCAACGCCCGGGTCGACACGACACGAACCTGCCGTACATAGGCGCTGTGCTTGATCAGTGGTATCGTCGGCTTCTGTGGCCATGCTTCACGTAGCCGTGGGTGGCGCCTGCGCCAGGGGCTGCCGCGCGTGCGGTTCCAATATTGCTGCTCGGCCCAGTCCCGCTTAGGCGAGGTTAGCACTGTGCGTCCTAACTCTGACTACGGTAGGTTTGCGTCGTGTCGACCGGCGGCGACCCCGCCAGCGGCGTTCAAGGTTGAACGCCGCCGGCGACCCAGAATCGATCGATGTGGAACATTTGGACGTTGCGGAGACGGCCGATCGTTCAAGGTTGAACGATCCCTGCGGTGTCAAAAACCAACGCTGGGGTCGACACGACACGAACCTGCCGTAGCACTGTGCGTCCTAACTCTGACTAGTTGATCCCAGACGTAGTTTCGTTTCGAAGCGCCAGAAATCTGCCCACGGCACGAGACGACGCGAAATAGACAGAGGCAGGGAGAGAGAGAGAGAGAGGGGCAGAGGGTCGGAGGGTTGAGGGATCTGACGAGGCTCCTCCTTCCTCCCTCCCGCCTTCCCTCCCTCATTACCTCCTCCCTTCCTCCTCCGTACTTCGTGGGGCCCCGTCGTGAGATAGCATTGCGGCGCGTCCTTGCGAAGTAAGCCCTGGTATATGCTGCTCGCTCACACGTTCTGAATTTTCCTTCGGAGACTTGAACGGGCAGCGGGCTGCATCATACCGATGCCGATGCCCATGCCCATGCCTCCTCCTTGTCCTCCTCGCCCTCGTCCTCCTCCTCTTCCTCCTCCTACTCCTCCTGCTCCTTCTGCCTCATCCTCCCCTTCTCCCCTCCTCATCGCCACGCCCCCTTCCCCCCGCTGCAGTCTGGGCCCGCGCCGCTCCAGGTGCTTCACCTTCGACGCGGGCGCCGACGGCCCGCGGCGAGGGGCGAATTGGGAGCTCCCCTTTTTCGGGGGTGTCCAAGAGCGGGTCTATGACTCATTGCGGGTTGGATATCATGGTTTCGCTCAACAAGTTCTTTGGCCCCCCCCTGTGATGTGGAATCTCCAGCTGCCTACGGCAAGTCCCGCCACCGTGCCTGGGTTGTGGGTTGTAGGCCTCCTGGATTTCCGTTAGGAAATCATGGGAAGCCTCTCGGGGGCCCGTTGGAGACAGGGAGACAGTTTTGAGGCCTCGTGGGGGTCGTCTGGGAGCAACTTTGGGCCTCTTGGGGGCCTCTTGGGGCCTCCTCGGCGCCTCTGGAGGCCTCCTGGGGACCTCTTGGGGCGGAAGGCTCGGATTTTCGGTTCGTGTTTCCCCTCTTGGGCCACTCTTGGGGTCGTCCTGGGGCCCTCTTGGGCCGTCTTGGGCGGCTCTTGGGCCGTTTGGAAGCCTTCTTGGGCCGTCTTGGGGCCATCTAGAATCTATGGGGCCTCTTGCCGTCTTGGGGCGGTCTTGGGGGCCCCGAGGGCCGTCTTGGAGCGTCGGAAACTCGAAAATGTGATATGTAACGTGAAACACATTGGCAACACAATGACAATTGATGATGTTTGCCTCTTTGGGGCCTGTTGGAGGTCCTCTTGGAGCGCCCTTGGGGCTTCTGACGGACCTCTTAGGTTGTCTTGGGGCCATCTTGGGCGTCTTGGAGTGCTCTTGGCCTGTCTTGGAGGCCTCTTGGACGGCCACGGTGGGCTTCTGGGCTGTCATGGGAGCTTTGGAGAGCCACAGGGAGGCGCCATGGCCGCCCAGGGACCCCTGGGAGTAGGGGTGGTGCAGTCCCTTGGGTGCTACAGAGAGGATTGGAGGGTCCCTTAGAAGACTACGGAAACCCTGCCAGGCAGCCCATGGCATTCTTCCACGCCCCAACGTGCCGCAGGCACGGTGGCCGTTTCGTTCCCTTTCGCGTTCGTATCGCTGATACGGCTGTAGCTCAACTGACACAGGGCCCTCAAATTTGATTTGGCCCGAACGGCGATGGCAGAGAGGGATCAGAGCAGGCATAGATCGAGTGCGGGAGCTGGCAGAAGGAGGTAGACATCGACCGAAGTCACACACAGAGTCCGCGCACTTCCTCCGGCATCATCTGCCAACCCCCCACACCTTGGCCGCCCCACCTTCTGCACGCCCCCGGCCTGTGCCGCACCGCAGGGGCTCGGGGGGGGGGTCGGGGCCAGGGCGCGCTTCCGAGCCGACCAATGCCGGGTGCTCGGCGGTTCTCGGATCTTCTCGTCGCCTCCCAGCGGGTTTCCAGCCTCGGGGTGCTCTCCAGCAGGTGCGCCTCGCCGAGAGCGTTCCCGGGGCCAGGGCCGCGGCGCGCTTCCAAGCCGACCAGTGTCGGGGCGCACGAGAGTTGGGGCAGGGACGTTCGGGTCGGCTATTCGAGGTTTTCGGGTGTTGTCGTGGGTTCTCGGCTGCTTTCCAGCCTCTGGGTGCCCTCCAGCAGCGGCGCCTCGCAGAAGGCGTTCAGGGGTGCTGGGGTCCTTCCGAACGGCAGCTGGAGGCCCGAGATATGGCCCGAAAGGTGCAACCCTCGAGCACCTCCGAGCTTCCGAGCCGACCAACCCAGACTTCGACGATGTGGTTGTTTCAATCGCGACGTTTTCCCCTTGTTTTGGCATCGGGCGGCCGCTCCTGGTCCCCAGGGCCATCAGGCATGGATCCGGGACGAAGCGCTACCCCCAGGGACGGGGTATGGAGCCCTGGGGCCGCGGATTGAAAAGCACATGTCAGAGGATGTCAAGGTTCTGAGCGGGCCAATGTCGGGTCGGACGAACCTGCAGTGCATCCCGACCAGTTCTTCGAGCTGCGTCCAGCCGTGGCGACGAGCAACGTCCCGCAAGCCTGAGTTTAAGATGGAAGACGATGACGAGGAGGAGGAGGAGGAGAAAGGCTAGGAGGAGGAGGAGAAGAAGGAGGAGGAGGAGGATGAAGAAGAGGATGAGGCTGAGGAGGATGAAGAGGAAGAGGAGGAGGACGAGGAGGAGGAGGAGTTGCGCCCCGACAGACAGAAGACAAGGGAAACTAGCAGGAGGAGAAGGAAGAGAAATTATCCCAGTGCGACCCTACCTAGGAGTTGGAGCCTCTAGGAAAGTAACATGCCTAGGCTAGGCTAGGCTAGGCTAGACTAGGCTAGGCTATGCTATGCTATGCTATGCTGCGCTATGCTATGCTGCGCTATGCTATGCTATGCCATGCTATGATTTTGCTTTGCCTTCGCTTTTGCCTTCACTTTTGCCTTTGCTTTTGCTTTTGCTTGGCACCCAGGGAGCGCAACTGGGGGGACCGCGCGTTTGCTATTACCTTTGCTGTTGCTTTTGCTTGGCTCCTAGGGGACTGTGGGAACCGCCCGGGGCGGTTTGCACTGCCCGGCCCCTTTAAGCCAAGCGAGTAAGAACCCTTCTAGGCAGAGCCTAGGTAGGGAACAAGGATTGTGAGGATGCGAGCCTTCCTCCCTTCCCTTCAGCTGGGAAGCTAGCGATATTCATCGTGCCCTCCAAAGCCTTAGCAGCACCATGAATTCAATGCCTGGCTTCTCGTCTTCTGGAACGGCATCTCTGGGGCCATTTCCAGAGCTCCCTCCCGATATATGAATCCAGAGGTCTAGACAAGGCCCTGAAAGGGGGAAGGCGAAACCAAATTGGCGGAGGCAGTGGAAGAGGAGGAAGAATATGCTTGGTTAGAAACAGTTGGTAACGCAAGCATCAGCAAACTGGGATTGAGAGCCAGGGCGGAAGAGAGGCCCAAGAAACGAAGCTCGGCAGCATCGCCAGCAGTACGCGATGTCTAGTGGGCCTGCTGCCCAATTTACATGCGGCGCGAGCGGAGAACCTTGCCTCTTTAAACAACCCCGCGGTGCCAAGAGAGCACACGCGGCCGCCGACACGGCGGGACTTGGAAACAACGCAGGCCGAAATTTGAGGAGAAGGAGGAGGATGAGGAGGACGACGACAATTCACCTCAGCCCTCAACGGTTGGAAGTGTTTCAACTCCCACACGATCACGATCGTTGAACTTCACTGGCCGCAGCGGCCCGCGGAGATACTTGAATACAGGAAAGCCGACTACAGGCCCGACAACCAGCCTTTCATCGACGACGAAGAACCACCACAACACTTACGAACAGTTCCAGTCATATACAGCACCTGGCAAGAGCTCAGCGACGACATCGACAGCAACAGGGTCCTACTCAAGCACGCGTGCGTCGACGAGGACGGCACCGAGACGAGCCTCAAGGAAACATTGTACAACATTTACGACCAACAGAACACGAACACATACGAATTCCGAATGGACGAGGACTACACCGTCCACACGATAATTTACTACGCAGACAATGACTACGAGAGGCGCGTCTTCATCAGCTCCATGCCAGATGCCAGCCACAACGCCGCCATGGGGACGGAGCTACTCTCACTCACCAACTACTTCGCAGACGCGTTCCACACATCAGGAGCGACGACCCTCCACCCACCATGGGCAACATGTATCCGCGACAAAAACAGAAGACACATCGCACCACCATTCACCTACCAACAGCCCAACCTGCGTACGAGTGCGACCTGCTCAACCAATGAACAGGCACAGCGCGATTCAGGCCAGGCTACCGCCAAGGACCACCAGCACCGACGCACGACACGCTTAAGGCACCCACCATAATCAACCCATCATGGCCGCCGATACTATGCGGCCTCATGCCGACACCCATCACTGAGCTACATCCCAGGAAGCACATAACACACGACGGCAGCCACCCAACAGGCATCACACCCGAACCCTCGATGGTCCTGCCAGGCCCTCAAGGGCCACAGCTACCTTCAAACAGCCCAAGTACATCCAGACTAGAGACGGATGCCGCTTTCGCACCGACGTACCTCCCGCCGACGGGCACTACGAATTTGTACAGCAACAGCTCGCGAAACGATACGACATCGAAAAACGGCATTGCGACCACCTGGAAAAGCAGCGTCGCAATTGCAATGGGCGTGAAAATGCGGCCACCAGAGCAGACCATCCCACACCTAACCTTCAAGAAATAGAAGGACAAGCCCGACAGAAGAAGGACCGACACAAGCCGCGATAGCATTCCACCAGGGCCAGCAAATACGCCGACACCACCGACACAGACCAACCCAGACGAAGAACCCATCCATTGGCAAGACTACTCCAAGGTTTGCTGCGACACTACCGACTCTTGAAGACAACAGCGACAGGTACGGCCCATGGGCCAAGATGAGCAGAGCGCCAGACTTCCACGAAGTTTGCTTCCCACACGCAAACCCAACAAGTACTATGACATGCGTCTTCCCAGCGGATGGGCAGCATACTGCTACCATGCCGGCGACACGGACACATAAGGACAATACTAATATATTTGGCATCGTGCAGTCTGATATCACGAGGCAACCAACACATACACTTAATATTTCCGAACGTCGACCTACTACTGCGTGGCTGGCACAGGTACCTCAACAAGTATAACAACGAGATGTTTGTCCACCAAGATGGCAAGCGATGCCTACCGCAGCCACCACTAATACCAGACTCCAGAGCCACACCACTATCGACCTTCACCCTCCCGTTGACAACGAACGCAAAAAGGTTCAAGCTCAAAGACGCCGTTCAAGCAGGCGCACGCCAACTGATGCCCAAACCGTCCAAGTACCTTACTTTTACACGACGCGGCAACGGCCTACACGCATTTGCAGTATACAGCCGAGACAGCATATCACTACGAGTACAAGTTGTCACGACTTCCCAGCATCTCTGCGAGCTGCTCGCAGGTGGTCGCGCCCCGCTCAACGCCGTCAAGCTTGCGGCCGTGCAAGAAGCTGCCAAATGGGTCCGTGCATGCCACAACGTGGACGACGTCCTGAAGAACGACTGGGCTGTATGCAATCGTAAGCCAGCAAACCTACTGCAGCGGATCTGCAACCCACTTGCTATACGGCACAACGCCACTACCGAGCGCGACGACAGCGACAGCTCCAGCGACCTGTATTCCAATGCACTGACGCCCCACAACAGACACAGCCGCTACAGACCAAACCACCACGACAATCATCACGGCCCAGCAAGCCCGAGCCACTTGCACCCACACTACCACCCTCGTGGGACACACTCGACAGCCCAACGGGCCCGACCCAACAAACCGACGTAGCGCCTGACACAGCAATGGCAGCGCCAGCACCAGCACACCCGCGCAACGCACCTAGCGGACCGACTCCACCAGTAGTCACCAAACAAGTCACCGTGCACAATTACACCCATCCGCATCAAAACACGATCCCAGGCAAACCCATGCCCCACATCCACGGTAACAGGACTATCACAATCATTACCACGACGCACCAGCGACCCTATAAACCACCGCCAGCACGCCTAGTTCACCATGCTAATCAGTCAGCACAACCACCGACGGCGCCAACCAACAACACGCCAGCGACGCCAAACAAGATCACACCCACATTCACCACCGCGATCACGCGGTCACCATTCCGCCTAGTCGCACCAGTACACCCGCCACCCGCACTATGCATACCCATCATTTGCCCAACAGACGAAGACATCAACGCCCAACAGTGGATACAATGTATCCCATGGCGGCAGCTGGCTCCACACACGCTTGCGACGCGCCGCGCGTACCTCTCGACTGTTGCAGCACGAGCAATCGCCGCGCACCACGAATCAGCAAGACGCGGCGAACAGCAGATCCACATCTTCAGCCGGCGCATCAGATTCCTCAGCAATGTCGGCAACCCCACGTTTTGGGACTACCTCGCCAGGCTCCGCGCGCATCGGGCCCGCTACGAGACCCGCCTCAACAGCTTGCGCGAACGCGCGTCTGGAGCACCCTCCACGGAGCCTCCACCCGAGCAGTTGACATCATTACACAAGGCCATTCCCAAACCCAGACCGACGCCCGCCAGCATGGACCAGTCTATGTAAGCAAGACGGCGACCAACGCGTTCACCGCGATTGGCATAGGGCAGCCAACAACACAGGACACCACGACGTTCGCGGCCAGTACCTCCTCCTCATCAATTACTGCAGATGGGCCGCATCTGATTTCAATGGCGTACAGACGCTCTCACTTGCAGCATGCTCCGCATAGTGCACCCCCTGACTTATGTGCAATTCACCCCCCCTCTCGCGGCCCGTGTCTCTGCGTGCTCGGCGGTGCTCGATGCGTTGGTTGCATTTCTCTCTCTAAGAAGGCTTGGGGTCACCTTGGAAACCCTGGCCCCCCACAGGAGCGGCCCCACAGGCAGCTATCTCACAGCTATGGTGGAAAGGCAGTTGCCTGCGTTGCCGACTTTGAGGGGCGCCTGAGGCGCGCCTTCCTTTGGCCTCCTCTGCCCTGGTTTCTCAGATGTGATCTGCCCTTCGCCCTCATTTTCGCGGCCCCGACCGACGCGTTGGCGGCGCTTTTCTCCGCGCGCAGGTTCGGGGCAATCCTGAAAAAATCGTGGGTCGCAGCCTAAAGATTGCGCGCTTCTTTCCGGAAGGTTAAAGGTTAACTTGAAATCCATATTGCAGTACGCAGCTTGCACAAATAGTCGCTGCGCGCACTACCTCGCAGTTTCTTGCCTCGCTACCTCCCTTTGCCCTCGCCTTTCGCGCGGCCCCAATGCGACGGTGGAGGTGGGGAGGTACTTCGGGGCGGTGGCGGGAGATGAACCCAACGTACTCGGCCAGCCTCTGCTACGGGCCAGCCGAGCACATATTCCACGCGCAAAGATCCCCCCCCTCCCGCTGCTCTCACCATCGCCGCTGCGCAAAGCCTCCTCTTGGCCACTTCGGCCCATCACTTCGCGGCGCGCCCCCTCCTCTACAGCTGATGCCAGGCGCTGAGGACACCCGAAACAGGTTATCCTCAATGCAGCTCGCCCAGCGGGCACTTGGGACCCCGGCAGGGAGGTTTCCCTTTTTTTATCGCGCAGCGCTGCAGCACCTATACGTTGCTTTACTTTCGTTCACCTCCCTGCCTCACGTGGCGCGCTCCCCCTGCCCCTGACGTGGGTTGCGGCGACGGTGGCCCCTCCGCCCAGGGGCCGAAGAGCGGGCCTACTGCCGGCAAAAAGAGTGGGCACACTGCAGGCAAGAGGGGATTCTCATTGGACTAGTCCAAAAGTACTGCCATGCAAAGCATGTGAGAGAGGTGCACACACCTAACTTATTTCTTTCGCTTTGCAACATCAACCTTGGACAAGGGAGCAATCTGCCCACATTACTTCTGTGGAGTGCTCATTACAAGCACCGTGTGCAGCCCCCACTTGGCCAGCAACGAACTCACTGCACAATGGCCACTCTGGCGGCTGAGTAGGGGCATTCTGTGGCAGTCTTCCGGTGCCAAATGTTTTGTATATTCGCCTCCCTCTTGTTCGTTGGTGCGAGTTATTCCCTCCCCTCTCTGCGCGGTCCTGACACGCCGGCGGCGCATTCTCTTTTTGCAGGTCTGGGACTATCTCACAAAATTCTGTGTCGCAGCCCGAATATTGCTTGACTGATTTTCAGCGTGTTAAGGGTTAAGGGCTTACTTTTAAAGCCCTACCTCGTCGGCAAGCTCACTTTGCGCGCACGCACCTCACTCTAGCCTCGGATTGGGGATTGGTGGGCTGTGGAGGATGGTTCTCGGGTTGGGGAAGGTCTCAGTATGGTTTGGGGTTAGCTATCAAAACCCTGGGCAGCAACCAAAGAACTGCACTGCGGAGGCAATGCCCCTATTTGCCAGCCACCTTTTATTCCTGGCCATCCTGAGCATTTACAGGAAACCGATAGCAGCCCTCTTCTACTTTGCGTAGCTCAAGCCGCAAACCCAAATGTTGCACCACGCCCAGTATTATTCTTGGCGGAGGACGGGGGGCGTGTGTGTGCGGTTGGCGGGGGAGTATTTATCTACGGTTTCGGTTTCACCAAAACCCTGGGCAGCAACCCTAGAACAGCACAGTCACGGCGTCGCTCTGCATGTGTTCTTCACCAGTCCTTTTGTCAATAACATGTGCGTCAATGTTGATACTCGTTACTTCTGTTCTGTGCTCATCTGTTGTTTTGCACTCCGCCCCCAGGCTACGCGAGGGGCGAGGGCTGCGGCGCGATCGTGGTGCGGATGGGCCAGGGCGAGGAGGACCTCTTTCGGCGGCGAGCCCAGGGGGGAAGCGAGAGGGGGCAGGCCGTCTCAGAAGTCGTCGGGGCTTCTCAGCAACCCTCTAGCCCTCTGAGAAGCCGTCTCTGTCGTTGGAGAAGTCTTGAGAAGCTTCTCGGAATGTTGGAGGGCTTCCGAGAATCCCCGACGCTTTTTGCGAAGGTTGCGAAGGCCGGCCTCCTGATCTCGTCGCCGCCTCCTTGCGTCGGGACAAGGGCCGCTGGAAGTTGGAGGCGCGCGTTGGGTGTCGAGGATTTGGGATCGAAGCTCGTGCGTGCTCGTCGGATCTTGGCGGTTTGCCAGCTTCGGAAGGCTCTCCAGTTGCTGTGCCTCGCCGAAGGCGGTCTTGAGGTGGGCCGAGTCGTTCCGAGCTTGCCCGGAAGATTCGAGTTATGGCCCGCAAACCACCAGGTCGGCTGCGCGCACGAGTGGGCAGCACGAGGGCGGCGGTCATCTTTCGAGTAGGGCGGGGGTCCTCTGGGAGGGCCTGGGCCTGTTTAGAAGGGCCCGGAGGCTCCCGAGAAGGCCTCTTCGAGGCCAGGGGGGCCTGCAGGAAACACCCCACCTTCGCAGAAGCTATCCCGCCTTCCTGGCACCCTCTCGCGCGCGCGGCCGAGGTAGCCTAGGCGGGTGGCCTTCCAATCGGGTATGACGCCAGCCATACACCGAGCCTGGCCAGGCCAGCCCTGGACCTATGATCATAAGGGCCAATGTTTGTCAAGAGGCAGAACTGGAACAAACACAAATTAACGTCCAAGAGATGCGGGAAACATTTGGAAGTGGAGGGGAAGAGGAGCATCCGAAAAATGGAAAAATGCTGGAATTCCTGGAATATGTGTCGATTGATTTGTGACTACCTGGGCCCCTTTAGTGAGGGGATGCACCGACCACGGTTTTGGGGCCCATCAGAGACCTCCGGACTTCCACGGCGTCGGATCCGTCTTGGCTCCTCCTGCCTCCTCGTGCGCCTTGTCGCCCTGCCTGTCCGGCCGCTCCTCCCCGCCCCCCCACCTGCCGCACCCCGTCTTGTCTCCTTCCGAGGGCAACGATAGGGGGGGAGGGTCTCTCCGAAGGGCTTAGGCGACCCGTCCTCCTCCTCCCCCTCCCCCCTCCTCCTCCTCCTCCTGCTCTCCGCCTCCTCCTCATCCTCTTCTTCTTCCTCCTCCTGCCCCTCCCCCCCTCCTCCCCTCCCCCTCCTCCTCCTCCTCCTCCTCCTCCCCCCCCCCCCTCCTCCTTTTCCTCCTCCTCCTCCTCCTCCTCCTCCTCCTCCTCCTCCTCCTCGGGTCGCCCACGGCCCCGGGGGAAACCGTGCAAGAAGGGGGGGAGGGAAGGATAGGCTCAGGAGGGGATACACCGACCCCCAATCGCCCATCCATCGCCGATAGGGGCCCGATAGCCCGCCCCGCCCTGGAGCGTGTAGTTTCGCTATCGGGGGCCTGTCGCCGACCTATCGGCGATGCGTCGCCGATGCCAGAAGGCTGGCCGCCTGATTCCTGCGCGCCTCTGCCGAGCACCTTGCTGGCCCCCTCCCTGTGCCCCCTCCGGTCGCTCACCCTTTCTTCCCCCCTCTCGGCCGCCCCCCCGTGTGGCTCCCGTGCAGCGTAGTTCCTTATGGGTGTCTTCTCCGCCTGACTTCGCCGCGTCGCTGCGCGCGCGGCCGCGACGCCCAACGTGTTTATGTATGTTGTAGGTGTGTATGTGTGTTAGATGTATGTGTGTGTGTGTTTGTACTTGTGGCTGTGCTTGTGATCGTGCGTATGCGTGCGCTTGTGTCTGTGTGTGTTTGTATTTATGCGTGTGCGTATGATTGTGCTTGTGCTTGTGTGTGTTTGTGCTTATGTCAGTGTTGGTGTTGACGTTGGTAGTTGCGTTCGCGCCTGCGTTTGCGTTTGTGGTTTGAGTTTGCGTGTGTGTTTGTGTTTGTGGCGCATGCGCTTGTGCTTGTGTTTGCGTTTGCGAGTATGTTTGTGGGTGTGTTTGTGTTTGTGTGTGTTTGTAGTTGTGGGTTGCAGCGTTGTTGTGGTGTTGTTGTGTGGCTGTGTACTTAGATTGTGTTGTTGTTGTGTTGGTGTGTTGTTGTGTTGCGTCGTGCTGTGATGTGGTGTGGTGGGGTGGGGTGTGGTGTGATGTGTGCGTGTGAGTGTGACCCACTTCTCGCTCTTCGATCTTGTACGCCTCGACGCTGCGCGCGAGGCCGCGACACCGACAAGTGTGTGTGTGGGTGTATGTATTGTGTGTTGTGTGTGTGTGTGTGTTTCTTCGCCTCGCTGCGACGCGCGAGGATGCGACTGCCAAAAAGTGTGAGTGTGTGTGTTGCGTTCTTTCTGTGCTGTGCGTTGCGTGTTGTGTGCTGAGTGTTGCGCGACGTGTGATGTGTGATGTGTGGTGTGTGTTGTGTGATGTGTATTGCGTGTCGTGTGCTGTGTGCTGTGTGTTGCGTGTTGTGTGTTTCGTGCTACGTGTTGTGTGTTGTGTGCAGGAAAATTCCGTTTCGGTTCGGTTCGGTTAGGTTCCCAATTGCCTTCGGTTCGGTTCGTTTCGGTTCGGTGTCGGAATCCGTCCGGTTCGGTTCGGTTCGGTTCGGTTCGGTCTCGGAACCTTTCCGGATCGGTTCGGCCTGGTTCGCCATGCGTTTGTATCCGGTTCGGTCCGGTCCGGGCAACCTCGTCTACGTCGTCCTCTTTCTCCTCGTCCTCCCCCTCGTGGTCCTTTCTCCTTCGTGAGGGCAGCGAGGCTTTGGTTCGGGCCGTTTCAGCGGCAGGCCGGTTTGTTTGCAGCCGTTCGGTTTCGGCGCCGTCTGATTTGAGCGGGTCTGGTTAAGCGATTCCGGGACGGTTCGGCCAGTTTTGGTCGGTGGTTTTGGGACGGTCTGGTTTTGGGCGGCCCGGTTCCAGCGACCGAGAGCCTGGCGCGCCAACAAGTACGCTGTTATTACATGTTGCTGCCGTCGATTGAACACAAAAACATGAGCAGGAGGCCGAGGGGTCGGAGGAGGAGTGACGGCGGCGGCGACGACGTCGGCGCCCTCGCTGCGACGTGATCTTCGACGGCGTGATCGTTGCGGTGCCCCGCCGCCCGGCGGCTGGCGTCCTAACGGGTCCAGGATTCGCTTTCCGTCGGGCGCCCCGGAATCTCTCGACCCTTCCCCTCATTGTTTGTTTTTCTCCGTGGCCCCGGGGCCCGAAAAGGGATTCCCGATCAGGACTCTGTTTTCGAGGCTCGAGGGAGCCTCGAGGCTCCCCGACCTCACCCTACCTCCCTACCTCCATGGTCCGCTGGTGTCTGCTAATTATGGTCCGCTAGGGCCCGCTGGGGTCCGCTCGGGTCCGCTGGGGGTCTTAGTTCAGGGTCCGCTAGGATCCGCTGAGTCCGCTGGGGTCCGCTAGGGTCCGCTAGTCTCCCCTAGGCTAGGGGGTCCCCTAGGGGGGCCGCTAGGGTCCGCAAGGGGGTCCGCCAGGGGGTCCGCTAGGAGGGCCGCTAGGAGGTCCGCCAGGGGGTCCGCTGGAGGGTCTTAATTCAGGGTCCACTAGGGGGTCCGCTAGGGGGTCCGCTGGGGGGTCCGCTGGGGGGTCCGCTGGGGGGTCCGCTGGGGGGTCCGCCAAGGGTCCGCCAGGGGTCCGCCAGGGGGTCCGCTGGGGTGTCCGCTCGGGTGTCCGCCAGGGGGTCCGCCAGGTGTCTGCTAGGGCCCGCCAGGGTCTGCTAGAGTCCGCCAGGGTCCGCTAGGGTAGCTAGAGTCCGCTTCAGCCAGCCGCCAACACAGTCGCAAGGCGGCCCGCGCCCGCGCGCCCTCCTCTGGGCGGCCCCCCTCGCTCCGAAGGGCGGGCTTCATCCGCGACGCAGGGGGCGCTGCCCGCGGTCGCACTGCCGAACCGGGCGGCCGCAGCCAACGGGAGGCGCCCCCCTGGCCGCCGCCCTCTCCTCCCGATCGCTCTGACTCCCGGCTCCCTATCGGCGCCGAGTCGCACCCCTTCCCCGGGCCCCCTTCCCCTCCCGGCCACGACCAGATGCGACCTCCGTGTCTATGGAGCCCCCGCCCCCCAAGCAGCGCGTGACGACCAGCGAGGCCCTGGGGGCTGTCCCTGCCAGTGCCCATGGGCGTGTGTCACCACGCCCTCGTCTCCGAGGTGTCCGCCTCGTTGGGGGAGGGCTTTGAGTACCGACGTCATCGCGCAGTGGCTGGGCCGCCAAGAACACCTCCTCCACGGCCTTTCCCGCCGCAGGGCGAAGCCCACACCAGCCCTTCGCCTTCCCTTCAGTCAGCCCAGCCTTCTCATCCGCTCCCCCTCATCCAGCGGATGCCCAGGCGGTTCCCCCCTTCTCCCCGGGCGCTGCCCCTGCGTCGCCCCCAAGGGGTGGCGGCACCTCTCCGCGCAAGCGCCCCGCCTCCCGCGCCCATGCTGGGCGCGGACGGCGGTCCCGCCGCTAGTTCGGCGTAGGCGCCAGCCTTCTCTCGCTTCCGTCCTCTGGCTTTCTCCGTCCCTCTCGCGCAGTCGCCCTGCGGACAGTCCGCTGGGCGGCCATTCCGCGTGCTTCACGCCTCGCTTCGCCTTCGGTTCGTCCCATTTCCTCACTCCTGGCCCTTTGCCCGTCCCCGTCTGCGCTCTCTCCCGGCCCTCCTGTCCCTCGCACGGGTCTGTCTGATCCCCGCAGGGGTCTCCAGACCTGCGTTGTGCAGCGCTTCGCCACTCTCACCATTATACAATCGTCGCTCGATTAGTGTTTCTCCCGTCTCCCGTCCTCGTGCCACGTCCCCGCTTGGGAGGCCCAGCGTCGGATGGCGCGCCACCTCTCCGCCATCCACGCCCAGATGGTGATGCCCCTCTTCCACGCTCTCGCGCTATGTCCCCGCTTGGGAGGTCCAGCGTTGGGCGTCGTGTCACCTCCCCGCCATCCACGCCTGGATGGCTTGCTGCTGCGGGCATGAATTTGGTTCAAAGCGATATCGCCTGAGGGTCCAGCCCGCGCACTGGCTCCTCCTCAGCCTCGACGTTGCGCGCGAG